TCCTTTTTTTCCCCAAAACCCCCTTTTTTTTTTTTTTTTTTTTTTTCGTAACGCTTCTTTCTTCCTTTTATTTTTTTTCCCCAAAGCTCCTTTTCCCTTCCCCCAGAGCTCCTTTCCTACCCCTCCCCAACTCACCTTTTTTCCCTACTGCTCCTTCGTTTCCCCACTGCTCATTCTTTATCAATTATTTGTTTCCCTACCGCTCCTTCTTTTCCCCAGTGCTCATTCTTTATAATTTATTTATTTATTTATATTCACTTCCCTAATGCTCCTTCTTTCCCCCTAAGGCTCCTTCCGCGTTCTGTGCCTGCTGGGGGCTGGAGCCCGAGGAGACGTCAAGTGCCCTGGGAGGGGACAGGGTGGAGTTGCTGGCCCAGAGCATTTCTGCCCGGGGGAGGAGGAGGACGGAGCCCTGGGGCTCATCCAGCCGGAGCAGAGGACGCTCCCGGAGGAGAGGACAGCCCGGAGCGGGACGCTCTAGGGGCCGCAGCTGCTTTGCGAGGGGACTCGGCCATAGAGGATCTTTTGCTTGCCCCTTCTCTGCTCCAAAGCTCTACATGGGAAGCAGCTGGCCATGGATAAGCTGTACCTCGTGGGGAGCAACTTATGGACGATCAACAGCTCGCTGGGGAACGGCAGCCTGGTGCTGGAGAACCAGACGTCCAAGAGGAACAGCACCACCGACCCGCTGAAGAGGAACGAGGACATGGCCAAGGTGGAGGTGACGGTGCTCTGCCTCATCCTGTTCCTGGCCCTGAGCGGCAATCTCTGCGTGCTGCTGGCCATCCACACCACGCGGCAGAAGCACGCCCGCATGTACTACTTCATGAAGCACTTGAGCATTGCTGACCTGGTGGTGGCCGTCTTCCAGGTGCTGCCCCAGCTCATCTGGGACATCACCTTCAGGTTTTACGGGCCGGACTTCCTCTGCCGCCTGATCAAGTACCTGCAGGTGGTGGGGATGTTCGCGTCCACCTATATGCTCCTGCTGATGTCCCTGGACCGCTGCTTGGCCATCTGTCAGCCGCTGAGGTCTCTGCACAGGAGAGCTGACCGCGTCTCCGTCCTCCTCACCTGGCTGCTCTGCCTGCTGGTCAGCATCCCTCAGATCCACATATTTTCCCTGCGGGATGTGGGTAATGGGGTCTATGACTGCTGGGCAGACTTTATCCAGCCCTGGGGCCCCAAAGCCTACGTGACCTGGATCACGCTCATGGTGTACATCATCCCGGTGCTGATGCTGAGCATCTGCTACGGCCTCATCAGTTTCAAAATCTGGCAGAACGTGAAGCTCAAAACGGCTCACGGGCCCAGCATGAGCCTGAGCTCCAGCTCCCGCGGCGGGACGGCCTTTGCCAGGGTGAGCAGCATCCGGCTCATCTCCAAAGCCAAGATCCGGACAGTCAAAATGACCTTCATCATAGTGCTAGCTTTCGTAGTGTGCTGGACTCCCTTCTTCTTCGTGCAGATGTGGTCCGTGTGGGACACGAACGCGCCGCACGAAGGTACGTCCTCTCCTTCCCTGCCTGCAGGTCCGCACGGATCGCCCCGGGGAGCGCTCCCGGGGGTGCTCCGGTCTGCCCGGCTGCTGGCAGCACAGGCAGAGGCTGCACCGGGCAGCC